ATAGCGTGTTAGGGTGCTCAAAAGCGGACCCCACCTTCAGCAGAGGAAAAGCAGGCTGGGTCCCAGGCATTCCCCTCGTACTGGAAGAAATTACGATCTCCTATCACATTTTATTAAAACTATTTTGTTTCACAGTGCCCAAGGTGGCCAGCAGCAAATATAAGATGGAAAGGGTATCATAAAATCCACCAATTACTAAAATGGTGCGAGTTGACGATTAAAAACAAAATTTACTTTTAAACTTGAGTTGGATTTAAAACAGCATTGCCCAGGCATTCCCCTCGTACTGGAAAAAATTACGATCTCCTATCACATTTTATTAAAACTATTTTGGTTCACAGTGCCCAAGGTGGCCAGCAGCAAATATAAGATGGAAAAAAGGGTATCGTAAAATCCACCGATTACTAAAATGGTGCAAGTTGACAATTAAAAACAAAATTTACTTTTAGACTTGAGTTGGATTTAAAACAGCATTGCCCATTTGATTTAAGGCAGGGGAGGGTACACAGTACTTGTGAAAAACACACTCTGTGCAGCCTTTTCTGCTAAGGAATGTAGAAAGTGGGTGACTCTGAATCCTGGGACTTGTATTTACTATTCTTTTTCAGTTTATTAAAATATTTATATCCTCCTTTGCTGACTGAGGGATGCTCAGAGCTACCATTTGGAAGAGGCAATAGCTGGTTCTTGATATAACACAAACACATTTGAATTCTAACTGTATGTTGTTTCTGCACATCTGTTCTGAGAACCAGCTTGGTGTAGTGATTAGGAGTGGCAGAGACTAATCTGGAGAACCAGGTTTGATTCCCCACTCCTCCACATGAAGCCAGCTGGGTGACCTTAGGTCAGTTACAGTTCTCTCAGGACTCTCTCAGCCCAAGGAAGGGAAGGTGGTGATTGTAAGCAGCTCTGAGACTCCTTCGGGTAGTGAAAGGCAGGGTATAAAACCAACTCTTCTGTGTCCCTTTATTATACAAAGAGAGTGAGCTTTTTAACATTAATAGAAAGGCCTAGAGTTAAATTGGCCAATTTGGTATCGTTTTATGGATCAGAACCGCTCACACATCCCACCGCATGAAGGATCTTGATTGGGTGGTCTAAAATTATCGTAGCCATGGCCACCATCCATGGCTGTTGCCTGGATTTGCAAACTGGGCTTGGACTACAGCTCCTGGGGTGCTTTTGGAATATAGTAGATGTACATCACTGGGGATTTGGAAAGGGGGAGGAGGAAAATCGGAATACTTGGCTCTCAGAATTAGTAAAATTTTCAGGAGGTCAGAATAGCAGGGAACCAAGTACTCTTGGAATGAGGGGAGCTGAAACAGCTAAGGAATCTGGCTCTGTGGGGCTTGCTGTTCTACAGGTCTCTGCTTGTCCTCTACTCCCCCCCCCCCTCCCCACCCGGCCGGCCTGCCTGCCAGCTCCGAGGAAGAGGCGGCGGGGGTGGCAGCATTCGCAGAGCGTCTCCTGCAGGAGACGCTCTTGCACTTTTGGGGGATTTAAACATCCCCCCGAAAATTTTTTTAGCTTTTTTTATTTTTGTGCACACGTGGGGATTGGCCCACGTGTGCACAAACCTCCCCCGGCCCCCCAGCTGCCCCCAGAGCGCTGATTTAGCGATCCGCACTCCGGGGGCAAGTTCACTATTAGATATATAGATAGAAAGGCCTAGAGTTAAATTGGGCAATTTGGTATGGTTTTATGGATCAGAACCTCTCACACATCCCACCACATGAAGGATCTTGATTGGGCGGTCTAAAATTACCGTAGCCATGGCCACCATCCATGGCTGTTGCCTGGATTTGCAAACTGGGTTTGGACTACAGCTCCTGGGGTGCTTTTGGAATATAGTAGATGTAAATCACTGGGGGTTTGGAAAGGGGGAGGAGCAAAATTGGAATACTTGGCTCTCAGAATTAGTAAAAATTTTAGGGGGTTAGAATAGCAGGGAACCAAGTACTTCTGGATTCTCTTGGAATGAGGGGAGCTGAAACAGCTAAGGAATCTGGCTCTGTGGGGCTTTTGAATTCTGAGGCTGTTCTACAGGTCTCTGCTTGTCCTCTACTCCCCCCCCCCCATTCCACAGGAGGGTCCCTGTTTGTGTCACTGACTCTTCTGATTTGTTTGTGTCTCTCCAGGCCATACATCCAGTCCAAGGGCCGCAAGTTTGAACGGGCCCGAGGTCGCCGTGCCAGCCGAGGCTACAAAAACTAGCCCTGTTTTCCCAAAGGAGTTTGACGGTGCAGATTGTGTGACATTAAACCCTTAACATTAAATCCTGTTGTTGTGTCATTCGGGAGGAAGGCTGTACCAAGGACCTCTTGTGTCTCGGCAAAGTCCAGTTCCCAGACGTTAGTGTGTGAGCATTTTGTGTGAACCTGGTAGTTACTGAGAAGGCGCCCCCCCCACACACACACACACATCTGCCCACAGTCTTTATCTCACCCAAGGCGCTCTTGTTGGAAGGGCTCTGGGCCAACATCCCTCCAAGGGAAACATAAGGTGGGTGAGAAACTCCTGGGGTGCTTTTGGAATATAGTAGATGTAAATCACTGGGGGTTTGGAAAGGGGGAGGAGCAAAATTGGAATACTTGGCTCTCAGAATTAGTAAAAATTTTAGGGGGTTAGAATAGCAGGGAACCAAGTACTTCTGGATTCTCTTGGAATGAGGGGAGCTGAAACAGCTAAGGAATCTGGCTCTGTGGGGCTTTTGAATTCTGAGGCTGTTCTACAGGTCTCTGCTTAAGACGCCTGCTGTAGGGGTGAATACAGCCATCCTGGCAGTCCCCGGCCTGTGTTTGCTGACTCCAGTGGCCGGCACAGCAGCAGAGAAGAAAGTGCGGCCCCACGGGGGGTCCTCCAGGAGACCTCATGAGTCTGCAAGGTGGGTTGTCAGGTTCTCCTCCATCTGCGTCAAGGACAGCAGCAGCACAAGAATTAACATTAAATCCTGTTGTTGTGTCATTCGGGAGGAAGGCTGTACCAAGGACCTCTTGTGTCTCGGCAAAGTCCAGTTCCCAGACGTTAGTGTGTGAGCATTTTGTGTGAACCTGGTAGTTACTGAGAAGGCGCCCCCCACACACTCACACATCTGCCCACAGTCTTTATCTCGCCCAAGGAGCTTTTGTTGGAAGGGCTCTGGGCCAACATCCATCCAAGGGAAACATAAGGTGGGTGAGAAAGCCAGAGCCAGTTTTCAGTGTAGGAGCTCGGAAGAGGTGTAAACTGAAGGGAGGGGCTGTGAATGAAAACGGGGGAAGATGTTGGTACCTTGGCGGGCAAGCAAATGCTAAAGCCGGTAGAGTCCACCCCAGAGACGTCTTCCTATCTTTTGAGAGAAGTGATTGTCAGCCACAGATTTTACAGAGTGCAAGGAACAGGCGGCATGAAAGATAAATCCTGCATCTTTGCCTGGCTTGAAAAGACGCCTGCTGTAGGGGTGAATACATCCCATCCTGGCACAGTCCCCAGCCTGTGTTTGCTGACTCCAGTGGCTGACACAGCAGCAGAGGAGGAGAAAGTGCGGCCCCACTGGGGGTCCTCCAGGAGACCTCATGAGTCTGCAAGGTGGGTTGTCAGGTTCTCCTCCATCTGCGTCAAGGACAGCAGCAGCACAAGAAGGTGCCACGCCTGCCACAAGGGTGAGGAGGCTCCCCCGTGGCCGGAGGCAGCCTTGGCAACACTCGACGGGAGGCAGGTCTCCTTGCCTCAGACTAGCCCCATGGGCTCATGCAGCAGGCAGGCGAGGTAGCAGGAGATGGTCCAGGCCCTGCCCACTTGGCTCTCCATGTTCTGGGGGTGGATGACGCGCAGGAAGCGGAAGCCGAGGGCCTTGTCGGTCAGGCTGCGGAAGCTCAGCACCTGCCTTTTGGCCGCCTCCTGCTGGGCCGACAGCTGCACGGGGCCTGCCTGCAGGAACACGGGCAGCGAAGGCAGCTCCTCCTCGGCTCCTGAGCCAAAGGTCAGGTAGCCACTGGGTGCCGCCACGGCATAGCCGGGGATTGAGTAGCGGCCCCTGGGGCCCCTGCAGGAATCTCCTTTACTCCTCGCCCTTCCCTGGGCCTCGAACAAAAGCTGTGCGCAATCCAGGGCCACCAAGGGCACATCGCGATGGCGGGTCGGCCTCTGTGGCTTGAAGGCCTCCACGTAGCGCTGGCTGCAAGCAACTGGAATCTACAGGTGTGTGGGGGGGAAGCATGCATTTGTCATAACCCAGCACAATTCTGTGGCTACAAGCTCTGACTGGAAGAGCTGGGTCGTCAGGAGTATGGCACTGGGGAAGAGACACGAAAGCTCATCTCAGTCCTGTTTCAACTCGGGGGGGTGGGGGGGGGGAAGGACCACAAGCCTGGATGTAGAAAGGCAGCATGGCATAGTAAAGTCAAGTGTCAGACTAGGACCTGGGAGATCCTAGTTCAAATCCCGCCTGCCCTGAAAGCTTGCTTGGTGACCTTGGGCCGGTGGTATACTCAGACTAACCTACCTATATAAATCCTAACTATAAATACACGTTGATGGGGTCCGAACTGGCAGAGATGGACCAAGAGAGAGATCTTGGGAATCCTAGTAGACAACTCAAGTGAAAATGTTGAGACAAGTTTGTGACTGCAGTAAAAAAGGCCAACACTATGCTGGGGAGTATTAGGAAGGGAACTGAAAACAAATCAGACAGTATCATAATGCCCCTGTATAAATCGACGGTGCGACCTCATCTGGAGTACTGTGTACAGTTCTGGTCACCACACCTCAAAAAGGATATTCTAGCATTGGGAAAAGTGCAGAAAAGGACAACTAGAATGGTTAAAGGGTTGGAACACTTTCCCTATGGAGAAAGGTTAAAACGCTTGGGGCTCTTTAGCTTGGAGAAATGACTGAGGGGTGACATGATTGAGGTTTATAAGGTTATGCATGGGATAGAGCAGGTTGAGAAAGAAGTACTTTTCTCCCTTTCTCACAATACAAGAACTCGTGGGCACTCAATGAAATTGCTGAGCAGTCGGGTTAGAACAGATAAACGGAAGTACTTCTTCACCCAAAGCGTGATTAACATATGGAATTCACTGCCACAGGAGGTGGTGGTGGCTACAAGCATGGATGGCTTCAAGAGGGAATTGGATAAATATATGGAGGAGAGATCCATCAGTGGCTATTAGCCACAAGGTATAGATAGGAATTCTGGGGCAAGTTATACACTATTCTTGGTGCTTGGGGGGGGGGGGGAAGGCCACAGGGGGAA